GTGCCGTGGCAGGGCCTAGCTCTCCTCCTCGGGCACAGCTGCAGGACTCCTGCTCTTCTCTTCACCCTTGGCCTCGGTGTCACCAGCAGGCAGGAGCAGAGCAGGGCTGGGGCTGGAGTGCCGCTGCTTGCGCATGAAAGGGAACACCCTGCAGGCAGAGCTGGGCTGAGCACCGCGGGGACCCTCAGCACCACGGCACCCCGGCACTGCCCTCACCGCTTCTTGGTTTCCGGAGGGATGACGGCTTCTGCCAGCAGGTTCCTGTAGAGCTCCGACTTAAGGAAGCGTGGGTAGGAGTCCTGGAGGAGCAGAGCATCAGGCCAAGGCTGAACCCAGCACTGCCCGCCCGGTACCCACCTTCTTCATCAGCATGTAGATGTGCATCTGTGCGTCGTCCATCACGTAGCGGTGGGGCGTCTTGATGCCCTCCAGCGTCCGCTCCATGGTTTTGCTATCGATGTTCACCCAGCGCGTGGCTCCCGGAGCCAGGAACTGCCTGGGGATCGATAGCAGGTGACCAGCAACCAGCCTGGCCCGGCCCCACGCTGGGATGGAGGGCTGGGATGGTCTCATCCCGAGGACCCGGCCCTGCTGCCCCATGGCACTCACTGGTAGATGGAGTCCACGATCTCACTGATGCGGGATTGCTCCCCGTAGCGCAGCTCCTCGCATGCCTCCCAGAAGCTCAGATTCTCAGCTGGGGGAAGAGGATGTGGTGTTGAGGAGGAGGACGTGGTGTCGGGATGGGGACGTGGCATTGAGGAGGAGGATGTGGTGTTGGAGAGGATAGTGGTGCTGGGGAGAGGATGCGGTGTTCAGATGTGGGGGTGGCACTGGGGAAGGGACATGATGTTGGAAGAACATGGTGTAGGGATGGGAGTTGATGCTGGGGAAGGGATGTGGTGTTGGAATGGGGATGTGGCATTTGGGAGGCCATGGTGCTGGACACCACCCATGGGCAAACCCTCCTCAGGTCCCAGCAGGGCCCAACAGCAAGGCAAAGCCGCACAGCATGGAGGCAATTGGTGTGAGGTGCAGCGGCAGGCTGGCTGGCAGACAGGGCTCACTCACCACTGAACTCCTTCTTGAGGAACTCGAGGAGCTGTGCACGGCCCAGTGGGTCCAGCAGGAGCTCACTGAAGTTGAAGCCCCAGCGCTCCACCCGCAGCTTCGTGGGGGTCGTCACCCTGCGGGCAGCGTGCAGGAAGGGCTGGGGGCTGCAGGCATGGCCACCAGACAGCAGGGCCGCTTCTGTCCTCTCTCTGCAGCCGTCCCAGGGCTGGTGGCTCCCTGGGGGTTTACTTACGTGGGGGCATTCATGGCCCAGTAGGTGGTGTCGTCGGTGATCCAGGGGTTGCTGGGTAGGCAGCCCGACATGATGGGGTCGTGGGGCACGTACTGCTCGTTGAACTTGAGGTACCTGCAGGGAGGGGTGGCTGGGGGGCTGGGCCACATCTCACCGCCCTCCGTGGCCTTGACTCTCGGGGGATGCACGGGGGCAGCACGGGGAGGGGTGAGTCCTGGGATCTGCAATGGCCTCGGCTCTGCCCATCGTCACTGGGCATGTGCTGAGGGGGGCTGCCAGCCCGCTGCAGGAGCTCACCCTTCGAGGCAGATGGACGATTTCACCCTGGTCCTGGCCATGGCCTTCCTGCAGTACTCAATCTGGGCCAGCCATGGGCACACGTCAGGGCTCTGCACCGTGCAGCACCCCTACGGCTACCCCATGCTCCACTCACCTCTCGCTTGTAGTAGTCCATGTTCTTGGCCTGGAAGAGATGTGAAGGGCTGGGTGAGGGCTTGGGAGTTCTCTATGTATCCCTTGTGCCAGGGGGATGCCTCCCCCTGCCTCCACCCCACTGAAACATCCCAGCAGGAACCCGACCTCCTGCCCCCTGCAGCATGACAGCAGCCCTGGGCTGGAGACACTTACGTGGACAGATGACATGGCACACAGAGGAGAGAAGAGAAAACGCAGCAGTTAGAAAGGAGGGCTGGTGGCTGCGGGGCACAGGGTACCACAGTGCACACACCAGGGCAGCTGCAGGGATTAGAGCACCAGCACAGATGGCAGCAGGTGCACGGGAAACAGCCCTCCCCACTTAGCCATGGCAGTGGGGGCAACGGGACACAAGGACATCAGTAGGGCTAAGGAGGTCACCGTGCAGGGTGGGACGTGGGGCAGCCCCGTGGGTCCAGCTCTGCTCACCAGCTGCACGCGGGTGGTGTGGCAGTTCCTGCGCTCAGGGCCCTGCTCCAGCACGTTGGGAGCTCCCGGCTGCAACAAGAGCCATGTGCTGGGGTCCCCCGAGCACACCCAGCCAGCTGTGCCCGGACTGCACACTGCCACCAACCGTGTCCCTCCCAGCCTGTCCTCACCGGGGGCCGGTTGACGAGCCAGTAGGCCTGCTCCTGGCAGTCGATGACAATGCGGTCACCCTTCCGCCGCTGCTTGGCCGCCCTGTTTGTGCAGAAGTGGGGGGTTGGCAGCTGGGGGCCGCCCCATCCCTGCTGCCCATTGCCATCTCCATCACGTCCTCATGCTCACCGCAGCTGCTCCCGTGCTTGCATGACTACGAAGTCCCACGTGTGGTTGATTCTCTTGTGCAGGAGGTTGTAGTTGTCCTGGGGAGCAGCAGCCAGGTGGGCACGGCGTGGGACCTGCACACTTGCCCAGCCCTGGGTCCTGTTGCTGCTCCAGCACGGGGACAACACCCCTGTTGCAGCCCCACGCCGGGCGAGCTGAGGCCCCACAGCTCATCACACGCACCACTCACCTTCTCATGCTCGATCAGGTCGCCCTGCTTGCGAATGTTCTTCTTGGCCAGGTAAATGGCTGCAGAGGAACAGAGCCGCTCAGCGGGGCTGGGACCCACTGTGGTCCATGGGTTCTCAGCTGGTGGGCACCTACCATAATCCAGCTCGGTGGCCGGCCACTTGGTGCTGGTCCAGAAGTACGGGGTCTGGGGGGAGAGGGGCCGGGCTGAGCAGCACTGGGGTGCTGTGGGTTGGTGCTGCGACCCCGACTGCAGAGGGCACCCACCTGGAAGCGGTACGGCGACTCATCAGCACGCAGCACCAGACTGCGGGGGTCCCGGAGCGGGTAGATGTAGCCGTGCCTCACGATCAGGTTGCCGAGGTGCAGCGACTCTGGGTGGGGGCAGCGGGGGCTGCCGGGCGGCTCTGCGAGCTGCCGGGACCCCCCGCCCCGCCCCGGGCACTCACCCTCCTCCGAGATGCCGTACTTCTGGATGAGCCACTCCACGATGTCGTTCCCTGAGGATCGTGGCAGCGCTATGGTGCGGTGCGGTGCCCCGGTCCCAGGGGGCACGCGGGGTTACGGGGCACAGCCGCCCGCCCTAGGGAGGGCTCAACCAACGCGGCATCGCTCCCAGCTGTAGTTCTGAGCACATTTCTGAGTGCCGAGAGCCGCCCGCTGTGCTGTGCCATCCGAGGGCCGCTCCCGTGCACCGCTCCCCTCCTCACCACCGCACCGCCCCGGGCGCGATAGCCCACCTGTCATGGCATGGGGGATGACGGTGATGAGCAGCCTCTGGTTCCTCATCTTGATGCCCATGTCCGGGTCCTGCATGCTGACGATCATCCGCTCCATCTGTGGGGCACCGGCCGCGCTCAGCCCCACGGCGGAGAGAGCGGGGGCACGGGGAACCGGGACGACTCGGACGCGGGGCACCCCGCAGCCGGCAGAGCTGTCTCTGGGCCGGGGCAGCCAAACTTACTCCCCTCGGACCCCGACGCCCAGTGCGGTGCCCCCCGCCCGCTGTCTGCCCCGTGTCCGCCCGGTGCCGGCTCACCTTGCCCAGGCACGGCATTTGCAGGCGGGACTGCCCGCCGCCGCGTGGACCGCCGATGGTCATAGCGGGTGCGCGTCCCGCACCGCACCGCACCGCTCCTCTCCGCCCGGGGCTGCGGCTTCCCCGGTCCCAACCCCGCCCCGCCCCGCCCCGCCCGTCCGCCCCGCGCTCCCCCTCGCGGCTGCAGCGCTCTGCTGCCCGCCCGGTGCCCCCCGGGGCCGTGCGGGGCCGTGCGGGGCCGGGAGAGGCCGGCCGTCGGGTCCAGGAGCCCAACGAGGGGCGGCGGGCGGGGTGAGGGCGGGGAGCGAGGAGATGTGCGGGGTGTGTGTGAGTGTGCAGGAGGTGTATGGGTGTGCGGGGTGTGTGTGTAAATGCAGGGGGATTCGGGATATGCGGGGTCTGTGTGAGCGGGAGGTGCACGGGATGTGCACGGTGCGCACATGCGGGAGGTACGCGGGATGTGCGCGGGGTGCGTGCGGGGTGCACGCGAAGGGCGGACGGCGCATTCAGGGCCCATTCAGGAGACGGGCCGAGCGCTCGCAGCGTGCGGGCAGGGGATGCGGGGTGCGGACAGAGCTCCGGGTGCGCTGAGGACACGGCGCCGAGCGCCGCCGGCTCAGGAGACGCCCCGATCCCGCGGCTGCCGCTCGGTTCGCGGTGTGCGGGCGGGGGACGGGGCTGCGGGCAGAGCACGCGGCGCGGGCAGTGCGGACAGGCGCGGTGCGGGCGGGCGGCGGATGAGCTCACTGCAGTCACACCGCCCATGAGCGGGGCTGGAGCCGCCCGGCGCCGAGGGGCGGGG